TTCCCATGGCCTGTGTTCGGTTAAAGCAACTAATGACATGTTGATAGTTAGTGTTAGGAGATTAAAGTTTTGAAGCAAGGAAGGTTTTATTTGAACTTTTTGAATTGATGATAACAAACATTATTAATCAGTGTTACAAGCTACTATAATTTTAACTGGATTAATTGAACTGTTATGTTCGTTGAATTAGAGCTTTTCGAATGCTGGATTCTTGAGCAAAGTGATGGTTTTTTTTGGAGTTCCTTCACTTTCAAATAATTATTTCTTCATTGTATCAGTCTATTACTAGTAGTCTTTTCAATGCAAACAATTACGTAATGGCTTGGAAATCAAGAAGTAAGAACAGGTGAAGTAGAGATTTTAGGGTGCTGGAACTTAAACATTTTCACAAAAAAAAAAAAAAAAAAAAAGAAAAAGGGGATGATTCTTGATTGAATTGGCTTCAATTGCGGACAAACCAAACCAAACCAAACCAAGCCTAGCCTTAAGTCCCATCAAATGGGATCGACTACATGAATCATTCTTCTCCACGCGGCCCTACCAAAGGCCATGTCGCTAGTCAAATTAAGTAGATCCATATCTCTATTTACAACGTTAACCAACTTTAATCTAGGCCTACCCCATCCCCTAACACTTCCATCTACCGTTACAGTATCGTATCTCTTCACTACTGCCTCTGTTGGTCTACGTTGAATATGACCAAACCATCTTAATCGATTCTCTTTCAACTTATCTTCTATCGGTGCTACTCCTACCCATTCCCGAATACACTCATTCCTAATTCTGTCTTGTCTTGTCTAGTCTTGCCACACATCCACCTTAGCATTCTCATCTCAACCACACTCATCTTATCTACATGTTATTTCTTGGTTGCCCAACACTCCGTCCCATACAATATCGTTGGTCTAATAGCCGTTCTATAGAACTTACCTTTATGTCTTGTAGGTATTCGTTTATCGCACAGTACCCCAGACGCACTTCTCCACTTACACCATCCCGCCTTGATCCTATGGGCCACATCCGCATCAATCTCCCCAGCTGTTATAATAATCGATCCTAAATAATGAAAATGTTCACTCTTAGGCAGTTTTTGGTTCTCAATCTTCACTTCTCCTCTGCTTTCATTGTTACTGTTACTAAATTTACACTCCATGTACTCTGTCTTAGTTCTGCTTATCCGGAATTCTTTAGATTCAAGGGCTTTTCTCCAAATCTCCAACTTTGTATTAACTCTTGCTCTAGTCTCATTCACTAGCACTATATCGTCTGCAAAAAGCATACACTATGGCACGCCATCTTGGATATTTCTCGTCAACTCATCCATAACTAAAGCAAAAAGATAAGGACTTAAGGCAGATCCTTGGTGTAGCCCTACAGTGATAAGAAATTCATTTGTCTCTCCAGCAGGCGATCTAATAGTGGTCACCACCCCTTCATGCATGTCTCTAATCACATCAATGTAACCTTTTGTCACCCCTTTCTTCGCTAACATCCGCCATATTATATCCCGGGGTACTCTATCATATGCTTTCTCAAGGTCTATAAACACCATATGAATGTCTCTTTTCTTTTCTCTATACTTTTCTATTACTCTCCTCAAAAGATAGATCCCTTCCATTGTTGACCTACCAGACATAAACCTAAATTGATTCTCTGATACCTTTGTTATATCTCGTAATCGGCGTTCTATCACCCTCTTCCACACTTTCATTGTATGACACATTAGCTTGATTCCTCTATAGTTGTTGCAATTCTGAACATCTCCTTTAATCTGATAGATTGGTACTAAAATACTCTTTCTCCACTCATCTGGCATGTTCCTAGTCAACAAAATTTTGCGTAACAACCTAGTCAACCAAGCAACCCCTTTTTTACCCAAACACTTCCAAGCTTCAATAGGGATATCATCTGGCCCTAAAGCCTTATTTGATTTCATCTTCTTAAGTGCAATCTCTACTTCAAAGTTCCTAATCCTGCAATAGAACCTATAGTCTTGGTTTATCGTATTACTGGCTATTTCTTCCCCTATCGCTGTACCTCCATGTTCCTCATTCAATAGTTTCTCAAAATAGTTCTTCCATCTTTCCTTAATCTCTTCATCCCTCACCAATACCTTAGAATCTTCGCTCTTGATGCACTTAACTTGATTAAAATCCCTTGTTTTCCTCTCCCGTATCTTAGCAAGTTTGTATACCCTCTTCTCTCCCTCCTTACTATCTAGTCTAGTATATAGGTCATCATAAGCTTTCAACTTCGCCTCTCTCACTAATTTCTTGACCTTGTTAATAGCCAATCTATAGCTCTGAAGGTTTTTCTTAGTTCTATCCTTCTGTCACTTTTTAAAGCACTCTTTTTTTGCCTTAACTACCCCTTGAACCTCTTCCCTCCACCACCAAGTTTCCCTAGAGCTGGGTCTCGTTCCTTTCGACTCTCCAAGAACTTCCCTTAAGATTCTCCTTATGCAATTGGCCATCGAGTTCCACATAGTGTTAACATCATCTTTCAAGTCCCAAGTGCCTTCCTTATCCATTCTATTCTTAAATATTTCTAATTTATCCCCTTTTAGGTCCCACCATCTCGTCCTACGACATCCACCATCCTTCCTAGCTTGGTATTGCCCTCTAAAACATAAATCTAGAACCAAAATCCTATGTTGAGAGGTCAGGCTCTCTCCAGAAATCACCTTACAATCATTGCATTTTAGGCAGTCCACTTTTCTCACTAAGAAGTAATCTATTTGGCTCTTAACTGACCCACTCTTAAAAGTTATTAAATGCTCCTCCCTCTTCTTATACATAGTATTGGCCACCACCAAGTCAGAAGCCAACGCAAAATCTAAGATACTCTCTTCAGCCTCATTTCTGTTACCAAAACCGTATCCACCATGCACCCTTTCAAAGCCTAGTTTATCTATACCTACATGGCCATTAAAATCTCCACCTATAACCAGGTTTTCTCCTATGGGTATCTCCTGTAAGATCTCATCCATTTGCTCTCAAAAATCCCTCTTGGTCTGATCATCTAATCCTACTTGAGGGGTGTATGCACTAATAACGTTCACTATAATTCCTCCAATAGCTAGTTTAACTAACATAATCTTATCTCCTTTCCTAATGACCGCCACTACATTCTCTAGAAGACCTGGGCAATTAAGATTCCTACTCCATTCATGCGTCTATCTTTACCACTATAATACAGTTTAAAACCGGTATCCTCAATTTTCCTAGCTTTCTCACCCGTCCACTTAGTTTCTTGTATGCAAGCTATACTAACTCTCCTCCTAATCATAACATCTACCAACTCCATCGTCTTACTAGTTAAGGTTCCTATATTCCAAGTGGTTACCCTAAACCTATAGTCTTGGACTAGCTTCTTTACATGCGCTTGTTCAGAAAAACGCGGCAACCTTTGCCCATTTTTCACCTCACCCAGGCGTCGATGCGGCTCTTCTTGCTCAGTTTTCGAAACACTCGGAGGTAGCCGCCACGCGTCACTTGAGGGGAACGACCTAGCATTTAAGCGTTTCAAAGTAGGATTCATTGTCATAAGGGATCCGAGTGGTTGTTTTACGTATTGGCTGTCGGCTACCTAACACACAACCCTCCTCCTTAACTCGGATTTGGGACCAGCGGAGTTGTTAACAATCCTGGCGGAGTTATTTTCACAAAAAAAAAAAGAAAAAGAAAAAGAAAAGTGGAATGATTCTTAATTGAATTGGCTTCAATTGCGGTAATATATGTTCGTTGTGGTATAGTTAAGGACTTGTTCACTAGTTATTCACATGTTGTGAAGCACAAATTTGGAGAATTGTCTAAGTATCCAAAAAGTTTATTTGGACTTGCTTCACTAGTTATTCACCTAATGTGTTCTGCTTTTTGCATAAAGGCAGTTTCTATCTCTTAGTTTTCCTTTACTTTATGAATTTTTGTTTCACAAGCAAGTGTATTGTTTGAATCCCAAGGTAGTTTTTTTGTTGATTCAAAATTTGCTTATTTTGTATTTAGACATACATACCTTCTGTGTGTACTACATGTTTTGGATTTACACATACATACCTTCTTGCTAACAAGTGCATCTAATCTAAGGCAAGAAATAGACACACACACAACAAAAAAAAAATGTGAAGAATACAAGGCATTTTTCACTTTTTTCAAAACACTTTTCATTGTTTTCAAAACTTTTTATAACCTTTTTACCTTTTCTAAAACACTTTTTGCTGACATTGGCTGGTTGTGTCTTGGACCAGGTACTAATTTTGGTACTATTGGATCTGCCTGGACTTCTCTTTTTCTCAACTTACATGCTTCTTGTCCCCTTTTTTTGGGCAGAGATATATCACTAGGCAAGTTAAAGTTCTATATTATTTTGTACCTGAAGTGGTGATTTATGATTCTAAGGCTAATCCCTCACTAAGTGTGGATTTGTGCTATCGATTGCAGTTTATCTATTTAATTTGGGCATGCTTTTGATTTTCTTTCATGCTTATCAATGGTCAGGCAAGAAGTCTACCATAACTAATTTCCCAGTACAGCATTGAAACTGATATCAAGTTCAACAGTCCTATATATATGGCTTTAATCCATGAGAAAGAAAATAGATTCATTTTATAAAACAAAAAATATATTGAATTTAAGTATTTGGTTTCGGCAATTGTTAATTGCTTTTGTTGTGTGTTTGCACTCGAATGTATGTGGGAGTTTTCATTGTTTTTTTATTCTGGCTGTCTAATGGTTCATGGACTTTTTTTGTGGGTACTAACAACGCATCTTATGATTTACCCTTTGGTGTTTAGGGCAAGAAAAGAAAAGATATGTTCTGCATTGCACTTGTTGATGACACTCGTGATCAATCCAAGATTAGGATGAATAATGTTGTTATTACTCCATTCAAGGTACTCTCTCTCTCTCTCTAGTTCAAAATTTTTTGTTCATATCTTTCAGATAAATTCCACAACTTTCAGAGATATATCACCAGGCAAGTTAAAGTTCTATATTATTTCGCAGTAGAGTATTGAAACTGATATCAAGTTTAACGGTCCATATATGGTTTTAATCCATGAGAAAGAAAACAGATTCATTTTATGAAACAAAAATTTATTGAATTTAAGTATTTGGTTTCGGCAATTGTTAATTGCTTTTGTTGTTGTGTGTTTGCACTCGAATGTATGTGGGAGTTTTCATTGTTTTTTTTATTCTGGCTGTCTAATGGTTCATGGACTTTTTTTGTGGGTTCTAACAACACCTTATGATTTACCCTTTGGTGTTTAGGGCAAGAAAAGAAAAGATAAGATCTGCATTGCACTTGCTGATGACACTCGTGATCAATCCTGGATTAGGATGAATAATGTTGTTATTACTCCATTCAAGGTACTCTCTCTCTCTCTCTCTCTCTCTCTCTCTCTCGTTCTTCTTTCTCTGTTTCTTCTCTGCCTTCGTTTCTTCTTGTTTTTTGGTTTGAATCTGCTCCTAGAGTAATGTTAATTTCATTGTTTTTTATAGCATAGCTAACTGAGTTGGAGTTTCGAAATTTCCATCGTTCGTTAGCCTTTTGTAGTCCATGTCATATGTTGAAATGGCATCCACATCTGAAATCAAGGTTTCTATTGCCTTAATGATAAATCTGAACTTCCCATAACACTAAGGCCATGTTTGTTTGGGTGGACATGAGCTTGGGATTAGACTAATAGTCCAATAAAATTATTAATCCGATGTTTGGTTAAACAATTGAAGTACGGACTAATTGTTTTAAACTTGACTTTTAGTTAAGATAGGATACATAATCCAACGGATTCGTAATCCCAAGATTATTAGTCATGGGAATGCTAATCCAGTCCGCCCAAACAAACATGGCCTAAAGGGAATGCAAGGTTGCCACCTTATGAAAAAAGGAAATGTAGAGGTTGTCACCTTATGCACATGTCCCTCTGTGGACTTACCACATCCATTGCCCGTTACTTGCTTAATTTGAGAGACATTACACATCACGTTTCAATTAATTATTATTCAAATTCTCACTTTCATTTAAAATGTTACTACGATAATAGTCAATAAAAAAAAATTTGGGTTTACCATGGAAGTTGTAGATAATGATTTTTTGCGTGGTATATGAAAGACCTTATTTGAGAGAAATTACCTATCAATAGAAAAAATAGGATTATTGGGTGATAATCGTTTAAGGATCGGAGTGAGAATTTATTGATTGGTTAATTATGATCTATTGATTTGTTGAACTTGTGCCCCTCTTTGGGTTTGAACTTGTGAAAAGAGAGAATAGAATTATCTGGTGATTACTCTCTTAAGGATAATAGCGAGAGAATGTGTTCATTGATTAACTATGATCCCCTCTTTGGCTAAACCAATTTGTCGCCAACATTGTTTTTTTTTTTTGGACCGACAGCCAACTGAATTTTTATTTTTTATTTTAATAATAGGATCAGGTGAGTTATTTATTTATTTGAGGCTTTACAGTGACATCTCTGCTCTACTCTTGTTCCCTGTGGGACCTCAGTGACTTGAGGTAGTCAATTTGGTCCACAAAGCGGGTTGCCCTTCTTGCTGTCTCTTGATATTCTGAAATTATATTTGCCTCTGATGGGCCTATTGCATCTATTTTGGACTTGACACTGAAAACATCTATGATAAATTCTACCTCATAGCTTTCTGCTGGAGTAAAGCCTTGGAAGCAAAAGATCTTGTAATTCATATTGTCCATGAAAATTGCTAATTGAAATTCAATTTACACCAAAGAAGTGAAGAGTTAGTCAAAATTGTATGTTACTATTTCATAACTTAATCTCAATGACATATGTCTGGCTTGGAATGTAAAAAAATTAAAGGAATGTAAGTTACACGTATACTTTGGTGTGGGTACCCACTAGCTTGTCAATGAGTATGATAAGCAAAAATTTCAACTGACAAGAATGCTTGGATGAGGAAACAATGAAACTGTAAGAGGCAATCAAAGCTAAGCTAAAGACTTGTCTTGACTTTTCTCATTTCCTTATTAGTGGCTTAAATATTAAATGGTAAATTTGTTTCCGGATGGACATCCTTTATACCTTGAATGTTAATTTTTGTTAGAAACCAGTTCGGAGTACTTAGTTTTACAAGGCTTGAGGCGAAACAAATTTACAAAACCAGTGATTGTAATTGTATTGGTTCTCTCATTTTATTTGCGCAAGCCTGATTTTTTTCGCTCCCAATCATTTAGACGCAAACAAGAATATGGCTTGGAGAAGTCCTGCACAAGCGATTGCATGACCAGCTGACAATTTCTGATTTACTTGCCGATGGGGAACTGCTGTACGTTTTTTTCTCTTATGTATTGTGACACAGCATATATATTAGATACGAGATGTGCATGCTTCCATCTCTTATAGTGTCTGTGCATTCTTCCATCTCTTATAGTGTCTGTGCATTGTCGGCTATCCTATAGGATAAACAATGTTCCTTTTCTTGACACATGTTACAATATTTAGGAGAAACATGTTACCTAATCTCCTGCCTTTTCTTGATATTAGCACTTCTTTGTTCTCACTCCTTTTCGTAATTGTGTTTTTTTCTTTTTGGTTTGTGTGTGAGATTGTGGTGTGCTTCCATAACAAAAATGCTTTCCAAATTGCCTTGGTTATGTCATGAAAGTGAATATAGGGAAAGGTTCAACCATCTACCTCTTAGGATAAAACTTCGTAAGTATTGGTATTTTGATTTTAATAGGAAAGCATCAGAATTTAGTTTCAATATGAATTAGATAATCTAAATTATGAATTATGTTCAAGATCAATATGACAAATAATATTGCCTTGATTTGTATGCTCATACAGATATGAACACCAGCACACATTTTATACTAGCTCTCTTAGTGTGTGTGTGTGTGTGACTAACACAGATTCTCTATTGCATGTGCAGTGTAGTTGCTACTACATATTGTGTTGATTTTATTCTAGTGGAATCTGTTAATGTTGAAAGGCTTTTTGTGCTTATTCTTGCCTTGTTTTCTTTGTACATATATTCCTACATGACAGTGAAATCACCACTGAAGGGCGACGAATAACAAAACTTGACCAAGCGGATTGTTGACAAAGCTGCTTTTTCCTGAAGGTGAGTTTTTGAAAATATTGATTATGTTGATGATCTGTTTTTGTGGTTTTGTTGTGAATTGGGTTTGTTTGTGAAACAGAGGGTTGGGTTGTTTCTTTGCAAGGCGCCTACTTGTGTTTAAAATCTTCTAGGATCTTGGATTTTATGCAAGGTTCTGAAAAGCGGTTGCGGTCGCCGTATCGGTGGCGGTGACTCGGTTGCGGTTGCGGGGTGTAAAGGCCGTAGCATAACTGTTGCGGTAACCGGAACCGTGAATTTTTTTATTTTTCGCACAATTTGAAACAAACTTACCGTTACGCACATTTTTTTTCCATGATCATATTTATTGAGTTTTAAAATAAATATTGATCAATTTTTATAAATTTTTAAGTTTGATCCAATATATTTCATATTTTTAAATCACTATAAATTGAGTTTTTTACATTTTATTTTAATAATTAATGACTTTATATTTTACGAAAAATAATCGCTAACTATTATATATAAGATAAACAATGACAAAAGTAAGAGAATAAATAAAATTCTAAATATATATATATATATATATATATATATATATATATTAATCAAGCCAAATAGATAATGACCACACTTATTATTATTATTATTTTCAAACAATATATAAATAGACACATACAAACAAAATGGTTGAGTGATAATAGCTGAATAGAATAGCATAGGTCTTACAACTTGAACAAATCAATAACATGTTTTTCATCTTCCTTATTCTCTCTCTCTATCTATTGTACCTCTATCTTCCCTCTTCTCTCTCTATCTCTTTTCCCCCATTTTCAACTTTTTTTTTTTTTGTGCTTTTTTGAAAGAAGCAATTCGGAACCGTTACGTAACGGTGCGTAACAGGCCGTTACAGCCGTTACGGCACCATTACGACCGCTATAGCAGCCGCTACGGCCGATACACTTGTGAATCTCAATCACACTGCAAAAGCGGCCGTAACGGGTGGCGGTAACTACCACAACCGTTACGTAACGGCGTTACGTAACGGTTGCGGCCGCTTTTTAAGACCTTAGATTTTATGTTTCTTCAATTTTTATTTTGTTGCCATTTTGAAGACTCAGATTTAGAGTTGTAGCAGTGATTTGCTTCGTATTTGGAAGCAATAGTATTCCAGCTACTCTATTGTGATTTTCTGTGCATATGTAGATGCCGGGGAAATTTGTTTCTTCCTTCTTTCTTGGGCATCTCTTGAACCCACACTTTTGTTGCTGATGAATAGTCACAAGTCACTGATTAGGTTGTGGCTTGAGACTTATCAATGTCTGTTGAGTCCTCTTGATCCAGTGCAGAAGTTTTTTAACATTTTTATGATTTGAAGGAACTAGTAATAACAAATACCACAAATGGCAAAAGTTACGTATGGTACACATCCAAAAGAGGGTGTGTATTGTAGCCTGACCCTATAAAGTATATTCAACTGATATGTAATTTTTTTTTTTTTTTTTTTTTTGTGCTTTTAGACTGAATTGTTATTTCCCCAAAATAAAAGAATAAACATAAATATGAAAAAGAACATACTTTTAGAAGTTGTATCTTTGCACTTTGACTCAAAAGTCCCAACTAAATTTCTTTATCAGCACTTTCAACCAATTATTTCCAATGCTCTCTTGCTCTTCCTTAATTTTCCTGACCGATTCCTCAACTGAGAAATGAAAAAGGTTTACCTCAATCATCGGCAGAGTGAGTGTATCCCCCAAAGTAGACGATATTTCCTCGAGATTTTCACACCGTTCCAACGGTAAGTGTTGAAGGCTTGGAAAGTGACTAGAGTAGGTGATCCATCGCTCAACTTTGAGCTCCTTCAGTTTCAAGAATTTGAGTCGAGAAACCCACCATCAATTATTACCCATTGTCGTCCACAGGCAGCATAATTTTCTAATTTGAGAAGCTCAAGGTTGGCTAACAACATCCCGAGGACTGATATCTCCTTTCACTCTATAAATGTACTTTTCAAGGTGAGCCTTTTAACATTTGTAGGAAACTTGATATCTCGGAGATTGGTTGAGTGGAGGAACTGATCGCGCATCTTCAAAGTCTCAAGGTGTCTTAAAAACTCTAGATTAGGAAACATCAAATTCTCCGAAAATGAAAACACTTCTCCACAAATTCCCAGCTTTGTAAGATAAGGAGTCCCTGCCAATATATCCTGAACAAGTCCACAAGGGTTTAACTTTGAAATGGTTTGTAGGTTCTCTAACTCAGAGGGATGGTTGTGATCCAATACTGCTTCTTCAGAACATAAAGACAAAGAAAACTTCGCTCCTCCTTTAGCATAAAGATGCCTCAATGTCTGAATCTTCCAAAGGCTATGTGGCAGAATAACCTCAGTCCAACGTGTAAAAATAATAAGTGTTTCTAAATTTGAGAGATTGGATATTGATGGCGGTAATGTTGGTAAAAACTACTTACATTACATAATTTCACATTGTATATCGCAAAATTATGAGATGAACAAAACAAACCTTCAATCCCAGGAAAAATAACATGCTAAATAAAATACAGATAAAATATAAAATCGTTAAAGGAAGCAAACCGAAGCCTGTGTGATACTGCAGTCTCCTTAAAATAGATTCGCCGCCTCACCGTTGGGTGCTGGAGGTACGCCGGCGTCTACTTCCCAGGATACGACGGTTTTTACCAGCTACAACAGAAAGCACCTTCTGATTAGCTTAACGAACGGACAACGACAACACTCTCTCTCAGGAAGAAAATTATAGGAGAAGTAGACTGACAGTGTATGGATGTCAAGGAAAAATTCTATATGTCTTTTCATGGAATAGGGCCTCCTTTTATACACCATGGGGAAGAGGAGAGGAGCCTCTAGCCATCAAGGCTGGCAACTAATGCTGGCAAAACTGCCCAATCAATTTTGTAAAACTGATGAGCCTTAAATGTGTGAGTTATATACACATTTATGAGGCAATTTCTTATTCAACCATTTTTCTCCAACAATCCCCTACATGAATAAAAATTGACCGAATATAGCAAACGCTCAACGTTTATCAACAAAGACTCGGAAAGGGAGAGAGCACATAGACTAACTCTGCATCAGAAAAGGTAGCTGTTGGCCTTGAACCTTTCGTACTGAAAGCCTATCGGATTTACTGGCTGACTAGTGAACGTGATATCTTGAGCTGTTCTTCCGTTTATGTAAACCGAGACAATAGACCTCACACAAGGGTTAGTCCAACCATTGTTCTTGTTCTCACTGGTGTGTCCAGTACGGCCCTGGAACACTAGCCTGGTTCTGTGAGTGTTTTTAAAGAATTCGGCCTTGGCAATTCTTAAAGAAGCGGCCCCACTTCGCACTCACGTAGGTGACCTAGATACGGTATTTCATTATACCACATCACTAAGGTCATTAAAAGCATTAGCTTAACCTTCCACCCCCATAGGGCATCACTGTATAAAGGAATGGGCAAGAGGATTTACCTCTTCAGTGACTCACCCGTTACACGAAGTTAGGTTGTCCCTTTGAACCTAGATCTTGGGATCTCCAGTCAACTAGGTTGGGTTTTCCGTTCCGGTAACCTTTACTAAAGGCCTTAACCCCATTCCTCTTGACGACTTTTCTACTAACTCTCGAGTTAACCCTTTGGTTAGCGGATCCGCAATGTTGTCCTTAGACTTGACATAGTCTAGAGAGACAACTCCATTTGAGAGTAATTGTCGTATGAAATTATGTCTACGACGGATATGTCTAGACTTTCCATTATGCATATTACTCTGTGTCCAACCAATCCCTGATTGGCTATCGCAATGAATACTGATAACCGGCACAGGTTTCGGCCAACGTCGAATATCCTCAACAAACTGGCAAAGCCATTCAGCTTCTTCAGTTGCTTTATCTAAAGTAATAAACTCAGATCCCATCGTTGATCTCGAGATACACGTTTGTTTGGCAGATTTCCAAGACACGGCTGCCCCTCCAAGGGTAAACACATAACCACTAGTGGATTTGGAATCTTTTATATCAGATATCCAATTTGCGTCACTATACCCTTCTAGTACCGCTGGGTATCTGGTATAATGCAGCCCATAGTCCAGGGTGTAACGGATATACCCCAACACCCGCATAATGCCCTTCCAATGAGTAGCATTAGGATTACTCGTGTATTTACTCAGCCTACTAACAGCGTAGGCGATATCCGGCCTTGTACAACTCGTCAGATACATCAAACTCCCAATGACCCGAGAATATTCTAGTTGAGAGACACTCTCACCATTATTCTTGGTCAAATATAGACTTAAGTCTACCGGTGTCCTAAACATACTTGTATCTGACTTTCCAAATTTCTCAAGTATCTTATTAACATAATGAGCTTGAGAAAGTACAATACCACCAGATGTTCTGGTGATCTTAACACCTAGAATGACATCTGCAAGGCCCATATCCTTCATGTCAAATTTAGAGTTTAACAATCTTTTGGTAGCTTTAATTATTTCATCATTGCTACCAACAGTGAGTATGTCATCAACGTATAGATACAAAATGACATAACCTTTGTCAGTGTCTTTAACATATACGCACTTATCACACTCATTGATTTGAAACCCATTTGACAACATAGTATTGTCAAACTTCTCATGCCATTGTTTGGGAGCTTGCTTCAAACCATACAATGACTTGACAAGCTTACATACTTTCTTACTTTTCCCTGGAGCTGAAAACCCCTCGGGTTGCTCCATGTAGATTTCTTCATCTAAATCTCCATTTAAGAAAGCTGTCTTTACATCCATCTGATGTATTTCTAAACCACGTAAAGCTATTATTGCAATCACCATACGAATGGATGTAATCCTTGTCATAGGTGAATATGTATCAAAGTAATCTAGGCCTTCTCACTGTCTATATCCTTTGATAACTAGCCGAGCTTTATATTTGCCAATTAATCCATCCGCTTTCATCTTTCTTCGAAAGATCCACTTACTCCCCAAGGCCTTACTGCCTGGGGGTAGATCAACCAACTCCCAAGTATGGTTCTGTAAGATGGAGTCAATCTCACTCTTAATTGCTTCTTTCCATAAAGGACTTTCAGGTGAAGTCACAGCTTCATGGAACATTCGAGGTTCTCCTGCTAACATATAAGTCAAGAAGTCTGGACCAAAAGACTTTGTGGTTCTAGCCCTTTTACTCCTTCTTAGCTCATCTACTTCATCAGCTTGATCATCTACTTGATCAGTTATTTGATCAGCTGTTCGATTATCCAT